TTAATTTTTCAGTCAGTTCCTGAGGTACTTTCTTCAGTTTTCTTCGCCTTACTTCTTTTGACTGATGCACGGAAAAAACTGCAGCGCTTACCCAAACTCGATTACTACTGCAATTTCTCACTGTTTTTCTTGTATCAGCTTTAACTGAATCTTTCAGTGTGAAAGGAAATTCCGGCAGTCCTAATCATCAAAGCTCGTATATCTTGACTGAATCTTTTCAAACCAACGTTACAGTGCGCTTTCTTTAGCATGTTTCCTCCCAGTGCTTGGCTAATGTTACGATTTGCTTCACGCCCTTTTTGTTTGGGTATGAAACAGAAATGCACCAGAATTATTTTTACCCATGTCTCATTCAACACTAAGCTAATTCTCGTTTCAAGTATCTGAAAATTTGAGTTTTATACAGCACGCGCTACGAAACGATGCGTAACTTCTCTTAACACACACCTGCATCTATGAATCAATAACCCACAAAATAACGCATACCAAAGCCGACAACTTTTGTGGCAACTTATTGTTTCTGCCTTTGTTTTCAACACTATTTTCTCTCGTCCTTGACATACAGCCAGTTTCTCAGCGGAATGTCCGCATTTTTGACGTTCTCTGCCAATAAGTTGCTTCTGTTGATCCAGCATTTAAAAGTTATCAACAGGTGAGACAATGCGCAGTTTTAGTGGAGATCAACACGCACTTTGAAACACTCCACATCGTGCCGTTCACATGGATATAGACTTGAGAACTGTTTGGCCCATTCAACAAGTCATTACCTTATATTCCTGTAACATTCTTTGCAGCTTCAACGGTACTTCCAAGTTGTCTGTCCTTTGAAGACCCGTGGAACAGGTGTAAATCTTTTTCGAGTGGCACCAGCATTTTTTTACTGGTCTGACGAAAAGTAAGTTTAATCCAATATACTATGGCAGAAATAAAAATCAGGTTAAAACGGCTATATATGTAGATGCCTGGTTTTAAAAATTTATATGCAGCTGGGTGACCTAACTTTATTTATGAATTCTGAAACAGTCAGTTGAAGCAGTGGAAATCAGGGATTGGTGTATTTCTTTATACCTTTAGGGCATATTTGTCTAATAAGAGAATACTCCGTCTGCAAATCCGGCGTAAGGGATTGGACTCACCATTCATATTCATGCTCAAGAAAGTAACCATGAGGTCTTGTCATCATGTTATTTGTCCTTTACACAGAGAATGTTTTTTTGCTTAACTGAAAGAGAGTTCAGAAACAACATTGTACATGATATTGGAAGGACTGGCAACTAAAAATTGAGAGAAAAGAACCATCATCGTCGCTGCTTTAATCATCAACATTTAGGAAACGTGACGCGGAAGATATGGCCAAAATTGTTTATTATTTCATGGTTGTCTGAATGAAGGATACCAGCTATCATATTTGAGGGTTAGTGTGACATAATGGTGGAGATAAAATTTGGTTTAAAGCCCAAGAACAAATGTTGAGCAGTACTTAACACTGGCGTAGTTGCTGTAACTTAACCCGTTGTGAACGCAGGATTAATATATTTTTTTGCGTGCTATGCTGTCGCATAATATTTTACGATATTGTCAGGTAATAAGTACATACTGGCATAATTGTGGCTTCCGGCCGGGTCGAAGCACCTCTAAACATATATTTGCCCTGCGCCAGATTGTTGAGAAATCGTGGAGTACGCCTAGCCGGTGTACATGTTTTTCTTGGACCTAAAGAAAGCGTATGACGGGACCCCACACAACAGTCTGTGGACATGCTTTCGTGCATACGGGATTGATGGCCAGCTGCTAAGGGCCATCAAATCACTGTATTCTGATAGCAGATGCTGCGTCAGAGTTAATGGCGTTAAGTCGAAACGATTCAGCGTTCGCACTGGTCTCCGCCAAGGCTTTGTCCTGGCCCCTACCCTGTTTGTGTTGTACATGGATAGAATAGTCAGGAGCTGCCAAGCGACGAGGCTATCGGTATAGGAGATGTTAAGTTGAGAAGGTTGCTGTTTGCAGACGACCTTGTTTTATTAGCATCTTCT